ACTTTTGCATTCAGCCTTTTCTTTTTGCAGTGTTAAAAAATCCTGGCTGATTTACCCGTCTTAGCATTGTTAATTTTCCGACTACCAAGAGTAGTCTGCTCAAATTATGTATGCTTCATCTTTTTTTTTAAACAATTATTTTTTTGTAAATGTTAAGGAGTGTTGTATATTGACATGTTTATATCTGCCTATAGTCATGCTTTCTGCTGCTGCCCTGTCAGCGCCACCTATCGGCTGTATACTTAGGCTTCAGAGGTTTCCTCTTACATGTTCGCACAAATTCCTGTCACTCCTGCTTATTCATTCGTTAAAAATAAACCAAGCTAGCCCACACCTGCCTCGTATTATTTCTCACCAAGAGACTCAACTACAACACTCCCCCTTTGGGACACTTTTCTCCTCCTTCCCTCCTCTCCTCCTTCCCCCTTGTTAAGCATTTACTTTCTCCTGTCAAATTGTAATTGTTCTTACAGATGGAGGCATTCCTTATATTTTCTTTGAATGAAATTTGCTGGGAGGCGGGTGTTGTGCCTAAAGGAGAGGAGCCAGCACTACGTATATCATCAGTCTCCAGCTGGGATACAGTAGTTGTACAGGTAATGATGCGAGCTCCTATGGTTTTACACCTTGCTAAACAATATTCCTTCAATCTTTCTAACTGTTACACCAGTTCATCAATGGTGAGTGTGTAAATCACCTTATTCTGTTGGAGAAATTCCTTTTTGATGGGCACAATTTGAAGTTCATGAAGAATGAGCAAACTGCGTAAGAACCTTCCATTACCATTGACAATGATTTGGAGGGTGATGACCTAACTTTGCATGAAGAATTAAAATACAGCTGCCATGTGCAAGTGAACAATGTTTCACAAACATATAATCAGTTTTGTAGACTGTGCATTTTCATTGTACCTCTGTGAAATAGCTAACTCTCATAGTCCTTATTTTGCCTTACTTTTCAGAAAAACATTTGGAGATTGTATTCAAAAGGCCATGGAAAAAGCAGGGTTTGCAACAGTGGGTGAACTTTGTTTTAACCACCTCCTATATGATGCCTTGAATGAAAATGTCATTGTGAAGGTATTGTATTGACTTACACATTTCAATGATCCCTCCATAGCAAAAGTTCATAATACATCTTCCTTGTTTACCACAGTTCTCAACCTCAGAAGAGGCAAACCTAGCTGTTCATTTGGATAATATTATTTATGAGAAGAAATTGTTGTCATTTTAAAAAAAATGGTACCAGCATGAGCACCAAAAGTAGTGTCTTAAATGAGTCTAATGGTGTGTACTTTAATGTTATTATATTGTATGATTTCCAAGCTTTTTGAATGTATACTATATTTCCTTACTTTTAAATCCATATCTAGATGTATTCATTGAGGAAAACAATGAAAAGGTTGACATCTTTGGTACTGAAGGTACCAATATATTCCTTAAAGTCATGGCCCGCTTCAGGGATGATATCCCTGCTGGAGGAAGCCATGACACTTTCCTGGAAACTATTCTTCCAGTAATGTCTAGCATGGGAGTCTCTACTAACATCATTGACATGCGTAAAAGAAAAACCGCACCTCGGGAGCAGTTTAGACGAAATTGTAAGTCTGGAAAGACTAATCACCCTCTCTATAATGTACCTAATGTAATTTTCAACAATGCAAGTAAGGACTCTCTCAAGGGGACCTTCTTTGAATGGAAAAAAAATGATGAGGACTGTTCAGTAACTTCAGTCACTTCAGATGACTTATTCCTTGCTGATCTTGCACAGTTTTCTAAGGGTAAGTACTTCTACTTCATGTTCATTTTCAGAGTCATGAATAAAACATCTTAATTTTCAGCATCATCTTGGACAATCAACTCAGAACTAGCCTTAGTGCAGTTGTTCCTCGATCACAAAGAGGATTACAATAAT